TATTATTATATTATATTATATTATTATTATTATTATTATCTAACGAATTATGATTATAATTATTATTACAAGGACAAACAGCGTAGATCGAAATGGGAACACAGACATGTTCCAAAAAGTTTGAATCAAACCCTTTGCTACAACAAAATCTAGTTGAATTCTTCATATCCACATTTGAAATTGAATTGATAAATAATGTTCATTCCACCAATGCTACTACTTCACTATCTCCCATATTTAAATAACGTTCCGAATACAATTTTCATTTGTCTTAACAAGTTGTTTTCATTATTTGTCTTTGTTTTTTTTCCTCTCTTTATTTGCAGTTTCACAGTACGTCGAACGCCACAGGAGCTCTAAAATCTAACAATATGGACTAACAGACAGACAAAAAATCCATAGTAAAAACAAACAAACAAACAATTCAGCAAAAAATAAATAGAAGAAGCTCATGAAAATATTTTGAAAACAAAACAAAAAGTCAACAACAACTACAGCAACAGGATTTCAATGTGGGCGAACGTGTCCCGATACACTTCGTTGGAGCAGCAAAGTGAATAACAAGAATTTGGACAACACAAAAACAGGAGCAGCAGCAGGGAGTCCGTCAATGAAATTAATTTTAATGAAATCAACAATTAAAGCTTAGGCGAAACCAATTTCAAAGAACAACATAATTGAAACAGCTAGGAAAGGGCTGGGGCAGCCAGTGATTTAATGCATCAAAGGAATTGCAGTATTAATTGAAATAAAGCGAAGCGGAACGAAACGAAACGAAACGAAACCTTCGAAACTATCGTTGGCATCTGTTTTGCATGTTTGCAGGATCTTGCCCCCTCCTCCTCCTCCTCCAAGCCCTTACTAATTGCCAGCTCTTATTAATCAAATGATTGGGAATGATTCAACACGAGACTGGTGTACAACAGAGGATTATGAATAATCTACACCAGACCCTGGCCACAGTTGTAACCGAGACAGTTGCTGCTGTGATGGCACCCTCCATTATGGACAATAGTAATTCTGTCCCTTACAATAAGCTGGTGACCATGCCGGTCACGAACACAAGCCACTCGGCGACGACGACCAACACGAGCATAGCAAACAGAACTAGTCTCAGTAGTGCGAGCAGTGACAGCATTATTGTCGGCAGCACCGCCACCAGCCACAATCTTTCACAGTCGCATCCTTACGACACATCGGGTCTAATTTATTGGAGCGGCGATGGTGGCGGTGGTGGTGTTGGTGTTGGGGTCAGTGGTGGAGGTGGCGGCGGCCTTGGCATTAGCATGAGAGATGAATTCAGTCCTGGTGGCTTTGATCCCTCCTTCGGTTACGATGCAGACAATTCAACCTATTTCTATCACAATTTCAATGGCAGCGATTTCTCGTTCAGCTGCCAGGACCGAGATCCCCTCACAAATCTCACCTATTGGAATCTCACCTGTGATACACCTGTGGATTATGTGGTACCATTGTATGGTTATTGCATGCCGTTCCTGTTAATAGTCACCGTTCTGTCCAATTCACTGATTGTCCTGATATTAAGCAAAAAGAATATGTCAACGCCAACCAATTTCGTATTAATGGGTAAGTTAATAAAGAGACATAGAGAAGAGATGTGCGAAACTGCAAAGGTGGGGAAGAGGGAGTAATGTTAAATTGATGGATTAGTTTATATGTGTGTGTATAGTTGGAATGTGGTTGTATTTAATATATCTGTGTTGAATGCCGTATGAGATGACTTGGTTGTATGACTTCGCCAATGAATGATGAAATCCTTGAATGAAATATTTCCGAGAGTAGGTATTCAGAGTAGTGGTGAGGCAGGTAATGGCTTGGCAAGGGCGGTTCAATAATCTTGTTCTTGCGAGTGAAATTCGTTATATGAACCCCGAACAAAATGGGAATGCTGAAATGAAATAATTTTGAGAGTATGCATTCAAGTTACTGAAGATACAGACAATTTTTGAGAAGAATGAATAAAATAATCTAAACAACCGGTTTGGCCTGCATATGTATACCCTCAGTCAATTTTCGTTTGGGAATTCGTACTATAAGGGTACAAAAAGTACTAAATTGTAATAAAAATTGAATAATTAGCATTCGACAAACGGAATGAGTATATTTAAATTTGGTATTAGAGTCACAGATGAAGTGCAGGATACATGAACCAAATGGTTTTAGAAAACTCCAATTTTAAGGTTACAAAAAACTCCAACATGTTACTAAACTTCTAAAATGGTATCATTTTGATATTATGTGAACCGATGGGACTAAAAAACCCTGAAATTTGGTATGAGAATCCGGGTTGGAAAATAAATTTGATATACGAAGGTGGTCATGGAATATGTACTTTGTGTGCGAACTATAATGGTACTTAATTTGAAGAGGTTTTTTTAGTGTGGTTGTAAGTTTGAGAACTGAAGTTGGTTTTTGAAACGTGTACAAAATTGTACGAAAAGTACATGATGGTACTATATTTTTTGGGAAGTAGTGCTGATATAAGTAGGTGTTTTTGGAAATGTGTACTTAGTGTCATAAATGTACTAAATTTAAATCTTGGTATTGGGGTTCCTGCTGATGGGTAGAGTTAAGAAAAACCTTTGAGTTTGGAAATTTGGCATTAAGATCAATTAAAGTGTGTAGCATTGAGAGTGGCAGGTGGGTTTGGAAATATATACTAAAAATTACTAAATTGTACTAAATTTAATATTTGAGTGAGAGATTGAATTGAAAGATCAAAATTTGTCATTAGGATAACGTTTTGTGCGGTATGGTTAACACATGGAAGCGGATTTGAAAATACATACTCAAAAGTACAAGAAGTACTAAATAGTATTACCTTTGGCATCTGGAAAAGGAGTCTTTGATGATGAGTAGGAAAGACAAACTAAAGTTTTTTATACCCTTCACCTAGGAAAGGAGGGTATATTAACTTTGTCATCCCATTTGTAACATACTTAAATATTCGTCGTAGACCCCATAAAGTATATATATTCATAATCAGCATAAAATTCTAAGTCGATTTAACGATGTCCGTCAGTCTGTCTGTCTGTCCGTCTGTCTGTCTGTCTGTCCGTCTGTTTGTTGAAATCACGATACAGCCCACATTATTTGACGTAGAGCGCCAAAATTAAGTAGAGCAATTTATATTGTGTCTAGGATGGTTGATATTGAAAATAAGATATATTGGTCCACGTTTTGGTATAGTCCCCATATAACTGTACCTCCCGATATTCGGTGTTTTGATGGTTTTTGCCACATTTTTTCACGGATTTCTCTGAAAATTGGTAGTTGTAGGTCATAATGGGTCCCAGTTCGTGTGGCGGAACTTTGCATGTATAGGTCAACGATTTGGTATAGGCCCCATATAACGGTACTTCCCGATATTCGGCATTTTGATGGTTTTTGCCACATTTCATCGCGGATTTGTCTAAAAATTAATATTTGTGGGTCCTAATGGGTTCTAGCTCCATTGGCGAAACATTGTATGTATAGGTCCACGTTTTTGTATACCCCCACATAGCTGTATTTCCCGATATACGGTATTTTCATGATTTTTGCCACATTTTCCCGCGAATATGTCTAAAAATTGGTATTTGTGGGTCATAATGGACTCTAATGTTGCCTTTACCCTAAGGTGGAGAGTATTAAAAATTTGGGCCGGCCGAACTTAATTTTTTTTTACTTGTTTTTTTTTTTCAAATTTCAGCAAAACATGTACCAAAAATAATTGATGTAAGGAGGTGGTTTTCGAAATGTGTACTAAGGGTAAGAAATATACTAAATGGTACTAAATTTAGTACAATTCCGTTTTGAGTGAACGGAATAAGCTAATAATAAGAACTGTTGGTATTGGGGTCAATGTTAGCGATAAAGATGTGGTTTCGGAAATGCATACTATAAATGCACGAAAAAATCGAAATAGTACTATATTTAATACAATTTGGTATTTGTTGAACGGATAATGCTTGAAATCTGAAATTCAGTACTAGGGTCGCTTTTCATGTGTAGCCTGAAGATATGGAGGTAGTTTCGGAAACGTGTACTAAAATTGTACGAAATATACTGAATAGTACTATATTTGGTATTAGGTGAAAGGATGGAGATACAAATCAGAAATTTGATACTTAGAATACTGATGGTATCTGTGTTTGAGATTTTGCGGTGGTTTGGAAATTCATCCTATATTTGTACGAAAAGTACTAAATGGTACTAAATTTGGTATTTGTCGAAGTCATAGGGCTGGAATCCGAACAATTGATATTGAAGTCTTTTTTTGGTATCTGGAATTGAGATATGAAGGTGGTTTTGTATTTTTAATGTACGAAAAGAACTAAATAGTATTTTTGGTATTGGGTGAATTGATGGAGCCGGAATCCTTGGAATTTGGTATGGATGTCAGAAGGATCTGGTTAGGGATATACATACTTCATTTTTTCTATATGGTACTAAATTAGATAATGGGCGAAATTAAAGAGCTGAAATCTTGAGATTTGTTACTAAGAGTCACTGTTGGTATCTGATGTTGAGATTGTCTTGAAAGTGGATAAAGCTGAAATTCCGAAATTTGATATGAACATCACTGTTGTTGCCCGTTTTTTGAAATTTTAGAATGAGTAAAATGCAATAAAAATCGAACACTAATTTACAATTCTAAACGAATAATTGTTAGTCAAAAGTTTAGCCAGAAGGAGTGGACGGAAATGTCTTGTGCTAGAGGAAATATTGGAATATTTGAAGCATACAATGAATCATATGCCTATTTAGCATTTGGGGAAGGTACCAGAATGAGATGCAATATACATATATACATATATTATATCCACACCTGATTTTGCTTTAGTAAAAATATCGGAATGTGTGAAATTTTATAAGAATCGAAGCTCAATTCGCTTTTTATGATATACCATAGTATGGTATATACACCTAAGTCTGTTTTTACACGGTAGATTGGTTCCAGAAGAAGCCGTGTAAAAAAAACCGTGTGAAATAAAAAAAACATTGATCTTATACAAAAATGGGTGATTTGTTCCTAATCTCTAAAACCTATTAAAATTAGTGAAAAACAAGAATTTTTAAGAACAAGAATTTATGTTTATTTTATTAAATCAAATATATAATGCTTATTTTCACAAGCATAGTAATTAATATAATAAAAAGATATGCACTCTAATCTCTAAATATAAATTAAATGTATGGCAAGTTCAGGAACAAAAAAACTATGTTGTGAAAAGAATAGGTTATTCAATTTTTAAGGTAAAAAATAAAATAAAATATAATAGAATAACTATCGATACTATCAATGGCTTCAGACTTTTTTCTTTCATAAAAACTTTTTTGTAATATGAACATACTTCGCAAAAATTAAATTTGACAAAAAAATTTAAGTACATAAAATTTAAAATCGTGCTAAATGGAATAAAATCGTGTAAAAAATTAAAAATATTTAATTTTCAAACCGTGTTATATGAAAACCGTGTACAAAAAGACCGTTTAAAAACAGACTTAGGTGTATATTCTTAAGCAGCATAAAATTCTTTGTCGATTTAGCAATGTCTGTCCGTCTGTGGAAATCACTCTAGCTTCCGAACGAAATGAAGTAGGTTGATAAAATTTTACTCAAATTTGTATTATATCTGCAGGATTTTTGGTATTGAAAATGGGCTATGTAGGTCCACGTCTTCGTATAGCCCCCATATAACGGTACCTCCCGATATGCGGTATTTTGATTATTTTAGTGACATTATTAATCGGAAATGTTCAAATTTGGTATTTGAAGTTCGTAATAGATACTACGGCCTAAGATAGAAAATGGTCCATGTAGGTACACATCTTCGTATAGCCCCCATACAACGGTATCTCCCGATATTCGGTATTTTGATGATTTTAGCGGCAAAATTTACCGGAACTATTTCAAATTTCGTATTTGAAGATCCTTATGAGTACTACAGGTTATGACAGAAAATTGTCTATGCAGGTTCACGTCTTCGTGTAGCCCCCATATAACGGTATCTATCTATATTCGGTATTTTTTATGATTTTAGTGACATTATTCACCGCAATTGTTGCAAATGTGGTATTTGAAGTTCGTAATGGATACTAAAGCCTATGACAGAAAACTGCCTGCACAGGTCCTCGTTTTATAACCCCCATGGTACCTCCCTATATTCGGTATTTTGATGATTTTAGCTACATTATAAACTGATTTTTTTCAAATTTCGCATTTGAATATTGTAGTAGCTTGTGACAAAACTCGCCTATGTAGGTCCACGTCGTTGTATAGTCCTTAACAGAATTTTTATCGTTTTATATTTTTTGAAAATTGCCAAATTTTTACCAAATGGTGGAGGGTATCCAAATTTCGGCCCGGCTGAACTTACAGCTTTTTTACTTGTCTTTAATCAAAATGTTGACCTTTTATGGATGAGGTACAGGAAGGTTCACAGCAGATCTTATATTAATAAATATATTGAGATTTGTGAAATTTGAGGACAATCGGAATTAATTTCACATTTTGTAAAAGTTATAATTATTCCAAATTTGTGAGAGTGGTACTTAATGGTGTAGACCGCCATTGTCCATTT